ACAAGGTGAAAAATCTGTGAAACTGTTCACTGTAGAGTAATACGTAAATATGAGTAAGTCTGTGTTTGCTCTATGAGCAATCTGACACTAATTTGGATTCCTGACATCCCTATGGACTGCCCTAGAGTTTGCTAGACTTTAATCATTACAACAGACTTCTACTTCTTTCTTTCTTAGAGCAAGTAGAGTTTACATCATCAACCTCTCACCAACACATCACCAAAGCTCTTAATAGAACAGTAATCCTGCAACCAGCGCTAGAGAGGAAGACCCAGGAAGAGATGGATTGACTCAGTGACTGGAGAAACGGGGTTAGGTTGGTCAGAGATGATAGGATTGGCTCAGGATAGGGCAGGGTTCAGAGTTAATGTAGGGTCACTATGTTAATAGGGTCACTATGAGTCACAGGCAACTCGATGGGACACAACAACAACAATGTTCTGGCAAAAGTCAACCAGAATAGTGAGAAACAGGGGAGTGAAGACAGGTTAAGATGCCCCAGTCCCGGAATTCTACTTGAATTCAGCCCAAATTCCAGAAGTTGCTTTGGCTCTGAGCTCCACATATTGATAGGATATTCTTTAGACTCACACAAGGAAGACCTGTTAACACTACTATTATCCAAATATATGCACCAACAGCTAAAGCCAAGAGGAGGAAATGGAAGATTTTTTAATACATTTTGCAGTCCGAAACTGACCAAGCACACAACCAAGATGTGTTAATGATATTTGGAATTGAAATGCAAATCTTGGGAACAATGAAGAAGAGTAGTCAGAATGTATGAAGTTAGTGACAGAAATGAGGCCAGAAACAGAATGATCAAATTTTGCATGTTCAACAATTTATTCATCAGAAACACTATTTTTTAAAAAATGGTGACTTTATACATGGACCTCACCAGACTGACTGCATAGGAGTTAGATTGACCTTATCTGTGGAAGAAACCATTGTAGAAACTAAATACCATAAGTCAAAATCAGGCCAGGTGCTGACTGTAAAACAGACTATCAATTGTTCACGTGCAAGTTCAAATGGAAGCTGAAGAAAACAAAAACAAATTCATTAGGACCAAAAATCTATCCCACCTGAATTTAAAAATCATCTTAAGAACAGGTTTGAGGTATTTAACACCATTGATCAAAGATCTGATGAATTGTAGGATGACATCAAGGATGTTGTCCATGCAAAGAGTAAAATGTCACTACAAAGACAGAGAAGAAAGGAAAAAAAACAAACCCAAAATAGATGTCAGAAGAAACCCTGAAAATTGCACTAGAGCACCAAGAAGCTAAAGCAGGGGAAAGGATACTGAAGTAAAAGAGCTAAACAAAAGATCTCAAAAGGCACCCCAAGAATACAAAGCAAACTACTATAATGGAGTGTTCAAGGACTTAAAATTGGAGAATAAAAAGGAAGAACTCACTCAGCATTCCTCAAGCTGAAAGAACTGAATAATAAACTAAAGCCATGAGTTGCAATACTCAGAGATGCTATGGGAAAAATCTTGAAATATCCAAGAAACATCAAAATAAGATAGAGGGAATACACAGAATTACTGTACCAAAAAGAATTTACTGACACTGAAATATTTAAGGAAGTACCATATGATCCAGAGACAATGGTAATGAAGAAAAAAGTTCAAGCTGCACTGAAGGCATTGGCAAAAACATAAGGCCCCAGGAATAACAACTGACATTTTATAACGAGTAGATATAGCCCAGGACATGCTCACTAGTCTATGCTAGGAAATTAGGAAGACAGCTGCCTAACCAACTGACTGGTAGTGGTCCATATTTGTTTCCATTCCCAATAAAGGTGATACAACAGAATGTGGAAATTATTGAACAATATCATATGCAAACAAAATACTGCTGAAGATCACTCAAGACTGGCTAAAAGAGGACATTATGTCCAGATGTTCAAGCTGGAGTTTGAAGAGGCTGTGGCACCAGCGTTATCATTGCTGATGTCAGATGAATCCTGGCTGAAAGCAAAGAATACCAGAAGAATGTCTATTTGTGCTTTACTGACTATGCAAAGGCATTTGATTGTGTGAATCATGACAAATTATGGCTAACATTGAGAAGAATGAAAACTCCAGAACACTCAATTATGCCCATGTAAAGAGTATATATAACTAGACCAGGAGGCTGTCGTGTGAACAGAGCAAAGAAATACTACATGATTTAAAATTAAGAAATATGTTTTCAGGGTTGTATCCTTTCTCCATACCTATTTAATGTGTATGCTGAGCGAATTATTCAAGAAACTAGATTTTATGAAGAGGAATGGGGCATCAGGATTGGAGGAAAACTCATCAATAAAATGTCTGGAGAAATTATAGAAGTACCGCATATTAATCAATTATCACTGAAGTTACTAAATAGCAGCTTGACTGAGAACAGAAGAGAAAGGGGAGAAGGCCAAAGCAGTATCTTCTATGAGTTCAAATTGGATTAGAAAATGTAGCAAGTCTAAATGAGCATTCTCCAAGTGTCCAGAGGAAACGGGGCCATTTCTACCCTTAAGTGTCCACTATGATTGATCACTAATAGCTAATGAAAAGTGCTAACACCCATTGAGTGCTCACCATTAGCTAGCACTGCTCTAAGTGCTTAACATTTAGCCCTCAGGACAACCCTAATCGATGGGAATTACGATTACCATTCTGATTTTATAAATAAAAACGTGGGAGCCTAGAGATCTTAGGTAAGGTGATACAAGCTGTTGACTGAGCTGGCAATGACCCTGCTGGGTGCTACACCAGGAGGAGTGGTTCTGCATCTGCACAGCATCGCCCTGCCTCAACCTCTTTTCCTCTCCTAGAAACATGGAAGAGCATCTTGTGACTAACACAGAAAGACAAGCATAGTTTCTATACAGGTCAGTGACATGTAATCCACAGCTCTTGTCCAGCTTGGGACAAAACTGTTTCTTCACCCACCTGCTCAGACACTTCCTCACTTTTTCCAGGTCATCTCTCCTCTAAAGATATATTCTCTCAAAGGAAAATGTGAAATTAAAGAGATCATGAGGGATGCACTCTCTGAGCAAACCTAAGACACAGCCTAGATTATAAACTGGTAAGAAGAGAGGACCAATTGCATATAATCCTTTTAATGCCACACCCACAGAGTTTCCACTAAGATTAGGAGCATCACAGCTGATAGGATGTTCAGTCCATCAAACTTTAGAGTTGCTCAATCTGCATGTCATGGTATTCAACCTTAAGAGGAGCTGCTTTCTTTTCCTTCTAATTTGCTTAATCTCCTCTCCTGTGATTTACAGTTTTGGAAACCCAATGGAAGGCCGGTTATGAAATGAGCATTTTTTTTCTTTTATGAGAATTGGCTACTATTGGTAATGAAAATTTTGAATTTGAAGTTAAGCAGTCACATTCACAAATTTCACAAATGATACTCAAAAACATAAAATGAAGGAAAGTCATCCTTTAAAAAAAATCATTTGTCCAACTCTAAACCACATTTCACCCTCCCCCCCACCCCAGTATCTTTTACAGTCATTGAGATGACTAAAATACCCAGTATATCTTAGGGAAAAGCTATTTTTGAAATTACTTGATTTAGAAAATGCTAATCATGATAATTTCGTGGGAATTTCTTAGTACACAAATTAAAAGTTTTAAATTGCTCCGCAAGAATCTATGAATTCAAGTAATCTTAATTAGAAATTAGCGGTACTGATGCATATTTATCAGGTATCTTTAAAGTCTGTCATGACATAAGATTATTTTGAAGGTTGTTTTGTGACTTGGAGTTCCTGTGGTCAGTAACAGCAGTAATGATGCAATATGAGACCAGGAGTGCCCATTCTAATCGCAGCTGACTCTACCACTTTGAGTCTTTGGGTCTGAAGGAAATGTTATTTGGCTTCTCTTAACTGGAGTTTCTCATGTGCAAAGAACAAACCATAAGTCTCACCTGAAAGCATTGTTTCATGGGCTAGATGAAATAATGCCTCAGAAGGTGCCTAACAAGCTGCAAGGCCGTTTAATCCAACATAATATTAAAATTACAAACCAAATATGAGTTTAAGGAGCAATGTCCCTCAAAAAGGACAACACAGATGAAGTCTGGGATTTCAGCAATAGGAACTGACCTGGAGGCAAGGCTTTTCCAACACTTGACCCTGGATGAGGCTGGGTTTGTGTCCTATTACTTAATAAATGGAAATGATTGTAGCTATCCCGTAAGGATGTAGGAGGATGGAAATCACATGTATAAAAGCCTCTAGCAACACAAACACATAGTAGGTGCTCACTAAATGACGCTCCTTTTAAATTGAAGAGTTCACTGAATTGAGCCAAATATGTGATGTGTTTCAACAAAACACCACCCCCAACAGGCGAGCCGTGTTCTGCTTAGAACAGTACATCCATAGCTCAGTCCCAGGTGGGCTCTGGCCATGGCCCACTCCACTTTACATGCCTGTGGATTCAGGCTGCTCTAAGCTGTATTCTCGCGTTTCTGTCTTAGCTAATTATCTGATAAATACTTACACATGGAACTTAAAAAAAAGAAAAAATATTGCCCAATGCAGCAACTCCAAGTATAGGCCTTTTCCTAGACGCCTTTTTACTAGATGAATTTACTTCACTTTTCTCTACTTAAGTAGGGGCAGGGGTGGAGTCCGGAGGAGAGGGTAAGAAAAAGCCATAGTGAATCAATGTTGTTACTGGGGCTGTTCAATTTGACAAAATCAGCAGGCTTTGTGATCGCCCTCCCTGCTCAAGAGCGTTGCCTTCAGCCTCCTTGGAAGTGTCAGGATCAACAAACCAAAGAAGGGCAGGGAGTCCTACCCCATCCACCCTGAACTCCGGAAAACCAAGTGTGCAGGGCATCAGTTAGCGAGCTGAGCGCGGGTTAGACGAGTGGAGAGGGGAGGGACGCATGCATTTGGGTTAGTCTTAATTCGACCATGCAGCTTTGCATTCCTGTTTGGCAAACGCGCTTAGGGAAAACAGACTTGATGCTTACAATGATCCCAGCCCAAAATGGAGTGTCTCTGACTAGCAGGGAGGAGCTGACGCTGGCCATGAGGAAGCCCACCACGGTCACGCCGATGCCTAGGGCCAGCTGCAGCAGGGCGAGCAGCAGTGGGAACCGGCAGCCGCAGCACGTCTGGGCCTCCTCCTCCCCGCGCTCTTTGGGCGCCCCTTTGCCCTTCTTCGGCCCCATGTCGTCGGGCTCGGCGTCCCCAGCCGGCAACCCCCCCTGCCTCTGCTGGCCGCGGGGCTGCTTGTCCTTGCCCATGGCGCTGCGTGGGTGGCTGGCCGGTGGGTGGGAGCCTGGCGGGTGGGTGGGTGCGTGTGCGGCGTGCTGGGACCCGGAGCGCGGCGGCGCTGGGCGGGCTGAGCCTGCCCTGGTATTCGAATTACGGAGGCTGAACAAATATGGAAAACATTTGGAGCAGACTTGCCCGAGTCTCCAAAGGCCACAAGGAGCCCGCTGCAGAGGGGGATTCGAGGGGGGTCGCCAACTGCCAACACGGCCTGGACGCAGTGCCCATGGCTGGGTTTGCTAGTCTCCCGTGGGGGCTGCGCGCAGGTCCTTGGGGCGGCTTAATCCAGTGCCTTTTAAACAGGCTCTCTGTGTCTGAATGTGTCTATGTGTCTGTATATGTGTATTTGCTTTTGTTTTTGTTTTCTGAAAGGTGCAATGCTAGCTGATGAATCATTTTGAGTTTAATTAAGAGACACTCTATTCCAAAATAGGCGTTGCAGGACTGCAAGCTGTGAAGTTGTTTCCAGACGTTCAATTGTTCTTGTTTTTCTGACAGGGATAGGGTCCTTCTCTTTTTTCAATTCTGTGATCCAGCTGACAAATAAACGCATTTTTCCTATTGAGATATTTGCTCTGGAAATAACTGTTTATAAAGATGATAGATTAATTGTGAGAAGGCAATTTGTGCTCCCAAAGCAAAAGTTTGTGGTTCGAATCCACCAGCTACTGTGGGGGAAAAGATGGGCACTCTTCTCCCGTGTGATTGACTGCTTCTGAAAACCCACAGGAGGGTCAGCTATGGGTCGGTTCTGACTGAACGATAAATAATAATAACAGGCCAATTGTAAACTCTACCACAAGTGCTAGTTTCTCGTTTAATGGAGTATATGGATTTTTCATCAGGTTCACCTGTCTCCATTATTGCTATCCACCTTTAGAGATGGACAATCTTTATTAGTCCTATTTAAGGCTTCTTTTTTAGTAGAAGTTTATAAACTACACTGATCTTCATACAATCATTCATAGACATTTTGTTTTATAACATTAATTACCACCGACTACTGTGATTGATATAATTACAATGTCTCATCAACCCTTCCCTATATATTACCTTATTTGTCAAGTGCTTAAGATGTGCTAGAAGGTGAGAATGTTCAAGATAGTAGACCTGGTCTCTGCAGAGGGTCACATAGAAAATTAATAAACTGATTTTCCTCATTACCGCCTGAACTCATTCTGTTGTGGTGGTTGTATAACTTTCAATGGAGTTGGCTCATGCAGACTCTACAGGACAGAGTAGAACTCTGTTTCATGCGATTTAGCAGGCTGTAAGCCGTAAGAGGAATGACCTGGGTTCTCCTCCTACAGAGCCACTGGGTTGATTCAAACTGGATTTCAGTTAGTAGCTGACCTCTTTAACCATTATGCCACCAATTTCAATCAAACCATTGCTTTGGGGAGCATACAAGGTATGGTCATTATAATATTCAGAAAGAAGTTTTTAAAAACAAATATTATCCAAGGCATAGCTGTTGTTGCTATTGTTGTGTTGGTTGCATTGGAACTGACCCACAGCTGACACTCCAGTGGGTTTTCAGAGGCAGTAAATCACCAGAGGAGATTGCTCATCCTTCTCTCATGGAGCAGCTGGTGGATTCAAACCACTTGACTTTGGGACTGTAGTGCAGCTTCCTACCACTAGGCTACCAGAAGTCTCTAGTCAAGGCTTTAGGATACAGAAAACCTACCCCTAGATTGTTCTCGACCCGCTAAGTTAAAGAAAGTCTGCTTTACCCATTCATTTATTCAGGATTATAAACTAATCATCACCAGTGCTCCTTATAGGCTATGATATCCCCACAAAAGTACTACTGATGATGTGAAATATAGTCTTAGATTCTCACCACTGGGCCAATTGACAGCATCAGGATTGATGGTGAAGAGATTGAGATTGTTCACATTTTTAGTTTGGCTCCACAGTCAACACTCTTGACACTAATAGGCAGGAAATTAAAAGACACACTGGGGTGGGAAAGTCTATTAGGGACCTCTCCAAAGTCCTGAAGTATTATGGTGTCACTCTGGTGACTAAGGTGCACCTGATACAGGCTATGGTCTTTGCAATTACTTGCTATGCATCAGAGAGCTGGACAATGACTAGCAGGGAGAGAAGGAGAATTGATGCCTTTGAGCTGTGGTGTTGGAGAAGAGTATTGAATATACCATAGACAACTAAGAAAACGGACAGGTTGATCTTGGAGAGGGTTCAATCAGGCAAAGATTCTGAAGCTTCGTCTGCTGACATACTTTGGACATGTTGCACGGAGGGACCAGTCCTTGGAGAAGGGTGTCATGCTTGGGAGGGTGGAGAGACAGTGCAGGAGAAGAAGATCTTCTATGTGGTGGATTGATTCAGTGACTGGGGTAATGGGAGTAGATGTGTCAGATACAGTAAGACTGGCACACTATAGAGCAGGATTTAGGGCTGTTGTGCGTAGGGTCACTATGAATCGCAGGTGACTTGATGGCACATAAACTACAACAACAACATTTTTACTTAAATGCAGAATTTCAGTGCTTGCGGAATATAACCCATGGAACAAATACAACAGTAAAGAAAGTGGAATCCAGATCACACTTTTCAGTATCCAGCCTAGAGACAGAGTCCACCCTTATAAGAGGAACAGAGTTGCTGAGGTAAGATCATTGCCAGCTTTGGTACCATTCCACCATCTGGGTTCTCTGTCAAGGACAGAATCAAAGGTGGTATCACATCAGGATACCAGACTACTTTGGACTTGACTGAGACAAGCCAAACAGTACAACAGAGAAAGGCTTGTTTTTTTCTCTTTGTGTGTAGTAAACATATGTTTATAGGGAGCAAATGGACCACATGGAATCAATTATTTATGCTTATTAAATTAATATTAATAGTAATAGCTCTGGTGGCCTAGTGGTAAGAAGCTGCATTGCAATTCTGAAAGTACATGGTTGGAATCTAGCAGCTGCTCCATGGGAGAAGGATGGACAATCTCCTCTGTGAGATTAACTGCCTCTGAAAACCTGCTGGAGCGTCAGCTATGGGTCGGTTCCGACCATACAGTATACAAAAACAACAACCACCACCACCACCACCATCTAATAATATAATGAACATCTAATCAGTAAGAAATACATGTAAGGCACTTGCAAGCTCTACTGATAATCTTTAAAACAGAATTAGAACTTCAGTTTTTACTTTTAAAGATGAAAAAGTTCAATAAGAGTATTGTCATGTAACCAGGCCAAAGTCACTCACTGGCTTTAACGTAAGCTTAAATTAGATTTAGGCAAGAAAAGCTGAACACGATAATAGGATATCCTAAAGTTTTCTAGGTTTCAAAACTGCCATGGCTTATAATGATAAGACTCTAGGGTTATAGTCTTATAATTAGAGCTTACTTTTAATTGCCTAGTTGAGATGTGTTACAAATGAAAGCAGTAGTATTGAAGAACATCCCAGGTTAAATGTCTGATCATATTTCCTGCTTAAATTTTTAACTTCTCTCATAGAAACCTCTTTGTACAGGGAATCTCACTATTGGGCCTCCTGGTAAGGACTTGAGCCGACAACTCAAATGTACACAGTTCAAATCCTCCAGCTTCTCCACAGGAGAAAGATGGGCTGTCTCCTACCATGCAATTAACTGCCTCTGAAAATCTATCTGCTGGAGGTTCCAAACTGATGTTACACAACAACAGGTGAGGAATTCTGCTAGTGTAGTCTTCAGGAAGTTGCTCTGCTAACCTAAACACTTTGCTTCTCTGTCAGTCTGAATCCACCAGCAGCTTCACATGAGAAAGATCCTCTTGTGTGATTTATAGCCTTGAAAACCCAATGAAGGGTCAGTTTTGAGTCTCTTTCAGTTTAAGAAAGTGAGTATAGTTCAAGACAATACGAATAGAGGTGAATTTTAAGGATCCCTGGGGGCATAGTGTTAAGGTGTCTGACTGCTAACTAAAGAATCAACAGTTCGGATTTAACCAGTTGCTCTGTGAGAGAAAGATGTATCCATCTGCTTCCCTGAAGATTTATAGCCTCTTTCCACCCAGTTGCTGTGAGTTAGAGTTGACTTCATAGCAACAGATTTGTTGTTTTTGTTTTTGTGATTTGGGTGGATCTTTCCAATATTTCAGGAGGCCTGGCCTTTGGCAACACCACTAGATGACAGCAATGAGGACAGCATTGTCAATTAATTGATACAAGAAAGTTGAGGCAAAAGAAGAGAGAAAAATTGATACCAAATATTTACTGATAGAGATCAAGCCTAAAATGAGAATAGACAGGTGATAAAGAGGTGGACCAATGAATGAATAAATATCCAATTTCTCTGTAAACTTCCATTAAAGTCAATAAAACTTTTAAAGAGATATATTGTTTTTTAAAAAGATATACAAACAAACCTCTTCCTTTAATATCTTCTCTCCACTTGGGGAAAAAGGATTTCAAACTCTTCATATAATTTAACAAAACTGGGCAGGGGTTTTTTCCAGTATTCATAAATTACACTGTCACTGTTTCATAAGTTAAGCAATAACCTCCTAGAATATTTATATTACCAGGAAAAGAGGCAAAACAGAAACAAAGTGTATTCAGATACTCTACTAGCTGCTTCCATAATTCAAAACTGACAGAGACTGTAAATTAGAAATTTCAGGGGAGTCGTTAATATAGGATATGAGATTATTGGGTCTTCTGAGTAAAGCAGCAAAATTAAGTTTATGTTGTCTATCTTCGTTATTCCTATATCATCAATTCTAAATGTGACTTTCAGCTCAAATTTTTACTCCAAAACAATGGCCCTTTTGTGATTTTTTTTTTTGCATGGCAGTTTTTTGTATTTTCTACTAAAACAGTAGATGGGCAACACATGGCAAGACTGTAAATTAGAAATTTCAGGAGAATTGCTAATATATGAGATGAGATTATTGGGTCTTCTGAGTAAAATAACAAAATTAAGTTTATTTTCTCTATAAAGTCTGTCTCAGATTTAGCATCATCTTGAAGTCATGTTTATGCTTTGGAAATTCAGAACAGGGAACATGAAAACATCCTAAAACCAGTCCCATTAGCCATGTCATTAAGAAATCCACTAGAA